TCACTGCTGCTGGTAACGGACTCACACTAACACCTCACACTGAGAGAGGACCTCGAGCCTCACCTACACCCTCACACTGAGAGAGGACCTCGAGCCTCACCTACACCCTCACACTGAGAGAGGACCTCGAGCCTCACCTACACCCTCACACTGAGAGAGGACCTCGAGCCTCACCTACACCCTCACACTGAGAGAGGACCTCGAGCCCCACCTACACCCTCACACTGAGAGAGGACCTCGAGCCTCACCTACACCCTCACTGAGACCTCAGGCCTCCACCTACACCCTCACACACTGAGACCTCAGAGCCTCTCCCCCACCCTCACCGAACTACCCCTACACCTGCAGCCTTGAGCCTCACACCAGACTACCCTACACCTGCAGCCCAGACCTCACCAGACTACCTACACCTCCCACCCCAGCTGGCCCAGGTCTCACCCGGACCTCACCCCTCCACCCCCAGCCAAGCCCCAGGCCCTGACACGAACCACCCTACCCCTCACCCCAGCCCAGGCCTGACCAGCACAGACTGCCCTACACCTGCAACCCCGAGCCTCACGAACTACCCTACACCTCACTGAGAGGGACCTCAGGCCTCACCTACACCCCTCACACTGAGACCTCAGGCCTCACCCACCCTCACACCGAACTACCCCTACACCCTGCAACCCCGAGCCTCACACCGAACTACCCCTACACCCTGCAACCCCGAGCCTCACACCGAACTACCCCTACACCCTGCAACCCCGAGCCTCACACCGAACTACCCCTACACCCTCACACTGAGAGAGGACCTCGAGCCTCACACCCTACCCCTACACCCAGCAACCCCGAGCCTCACACCGAACTACCCCTACACCCTCACACCCAGCAACCCCGAGCCTGACACCGAACTACCCCTACACCCTCACACCCAGCAACCCCGAGCCTGACACCGAACTACCCCTACACCCTCACACCCAGCAACCCCGAGCCTGACACTGAACTACCCCTACACCCTCACACCCAGCAACCCCGAGCCTCACCTACACCCTCACACCGAACTACCCCCTACACCCTCACACTGAGAGAGGACCTCGAGCCTCACCTACACCCTCACACCCAGCAACCCCGAGCCTGACACCAAACTACCTACACCCTCACACCCAGCAACCGAGCCTCACACTGAACTACCCCCTACACACTCACACCGAACTACCCCTACACCCTCACACCCAGCAACCTCGAGCCTCACACCGAACTACCCCTACACCCTCACACCCAGCAACCCCGAGTCTCACACCGAACTACCCCTACACCCTCACACCCAGCAACCCCGAGCATGACACCAAACTACCCTCACACTATCAAATATCCAATATTTATACCCAACAATACATCATGCATGAATAAAATGTTAAAAACGGGAATGATTTTTCCACTTTTTTTTTTTTAATTATATATATTTTTTACTCATCCAGTGCAACTAAATAGAAATAACTCAAAGTAGATTTATATATCTGTCCTGATTAAAGGGATACTATATTGCTAAGGATACAAAGCTGCACTGCTTTCCAATGGCAATCTGACTGACGCTGGATGTCTCATGCAGAGCTTGAGGATGTCCTGTGTCGGGCGACCAAAAGTCGCCTAACCACCAGAAAGTGCTTCTAGTGACTGACATCCACTAGAGGCAGCCTTAACCCAGCAATGTATGTATTGCAGTTTCGCAGGAACTGCAATAATTAACATTGCAGAGTTTAGTGGACAGAAACAGAGCACTTAGACAATGTCAATGAGCTAAAGTGGTCTGGGGCCTATAGAGTTCCTTTAAGTGTCTCATATGCCGATGTCTAAATTTATGTTTGGTAGTTAATGCCAACCCTATAATAACCCCACACACTAATGCTATACCAATATTACCGATTAACCCTACCCGACTCTTACCCCCTATCATAACCCTAAGAAAAAACTCTGCTACTATCAGTTCTGATATTAGAAAATTGATTCTCTTGTTAAAGGGACACTATAGTCTCCAGAATCACTACTTCTATTGTCCCTGCAGTGTTTAAATTGCTGCTTTGGAACACCTCTAATGGCAGTCACTCAGACTGCTACTAGAGGTGCTTCCTATCTGCACTGGCATTCAACTTCTCCACTCTGCATGGAGGTGCTGAACGTTTCCCATAGAGACGCATCGATTCATTCCTGATATTATAGAGGTCTGTGACTGCCATCTACTGGCTGCTTTCATAATTACATTCTTTGTAATTATGAATGGAGCCCATGTTCCAGCTTATAAATACACTGTGATAAGTTCTGGGCAGCTGGCAAAGCCCAGCACCAGTGACAATTGGCTAGAAACAGACATGAGAGGGGGGCCAGTCTGCAGCCCCTCTCAAAAAAAAAGTCTTTAGGCAGCCCTAACTTCCTTGTTTGGAGCTCACTGGTCAGTGTTTCACGCAGCCCTGCAGGCATTTAAAGGGACACTAGAGCACCCAGATTTCTTCCTCTCAAGTAATCTCTGTGTAGTGTCCCTGTCTTCTTACCCCTGCAATGTAAAACATTGCAGGACAACGTTCAGCTTCTTGAAAATCCCCATAGGAAAATACTGTTTCAATGCTTTTGCGACGGCCTAATGTGCACACAGCTCTTGCATATTAGGTTCCACCCCCATCGCTGTGATGTCACGGGAGGAGGAGTCAATCCAGTGAAAGAAAAGGTTTTCAACCCATTCATGACCGGAAGGTATGGCACAGGGACACTACAGTGTTAGGAATACAGTTCTGTATTCCTTACACCATAGTGTTCCTTTAAGCCCACTCTGTGTAGGACAGCATGAAATTCCTGTCCTAAGGGGAAACCCTTCTACGTTGAAAATTAAATTATTGCATAAAACTTTTTTTTTAACGCCATATTTTCGCATTGAATTTTAGTCCTTGAGGCACAGTACATCACCGCCAGCACCTCCTTTGCCTGGACTGTACCCCAACACAATATATATGCTGAGCGCCGGCTAAGAAAGCAAAAAACTGTCCCGGGCCCCCATAGCCCTTCTCACAGTGACAAGACGCTTTTACGTGCTTTTGGCACCAGGTCCATAGTCCGTGGGTAGGCTTTCCACCCTGTTGTGGCACAGGAGCTTGCATCACAGCCTCAATCTTCAACTCCTGGTACTTCATCTGCCAGGTACTCACCTCAGTGCTGTACTCATGTGTATGCATAAGAGTACAACACTAATGTTTATGGAGAAAACCGCGGAAGCCACCTTAGCTATCTCGTCATGATCAAGATAATGCGTTATTCCCATCTCTAGCAGAAGGATTTACCATAAGTCAAAGTAACACCTATTTCTCATAACTTTTAACTGTATTGGAATTTCAATAATATTCCAACACAGTCTTTGTGAGCATTTCATAAAGATTTTATATTATTATGAAATGCTCAATGTTTTATTTCATTTTTTTGTTTTGGGGGAAGCGGGGGCTGCAGAGCTGCTTCAAGTGCTTATCACAATGTTTCTGTCACTCATCACTTTATAAATTGGAAGATGAAGTCTTTACTGGACATGGCCTCCAATGTTTCTTCTACAACACAAAAAAAAAACAAAAAAAACGAACAACATTTATAAGTTATTACCAAGGAGTCATGCTGAAAGTGCCCAGTTCAGGATTGCCGACTAAGAGAAATAGTACAATTTTACTCTAAACATAGCTCTTAAAGCAACCAGAGCCTGGCCATCCTACCACTTCTTTAGCATTACCCTTAAAACGAACACTATTTCTCTCAATAGGAGGCTTGTAATAGACTGACAGTGTCTGCTGACACATCTTATAACAGGCCTCCCTCCTAAACCATACTCATACTGCGGTGGGCAGAGAGCCACAAACTGTTGCTTAACCCCTGAAGAGACTGGACCCTGACCCTGAGTGTTACTACAATGATAAAAGTAAAATTCAGAATACATTAAATATAGCAGATGTAACTGTATACTCAGTCACAATGAATTGTTATGGTGTACAAAGATAGTTTGCATTAAAGGACATGGCTGAATAAATGTCTAAAATAAATACCCCATTCCAAGTTCACACCTGAATAAGCAGTGGTTGATGCAGAATGTATAGGGCAGGAGGGAAACGTCTCAAGAAAAATTAAAATGGGGGGACATGGCCTGACAGCCAACTGATGCAGATGTGTGTGGCTTGGGCTCCTTGGTGGAAGCCCAAAACTAAGGATTATGAGGAAATATTTAAACCAATTTTCAACGACAAACCCTCCTCTACCTACACCAAAACAGTAGTCGCACCTAGTTTCGGAAAATAGATTCAGCGCTACTTACCTTAAGGTCCTACGGTATCAACTTGGGTGGAGGGGATGGCCGCTTCTTCACCTCACCTTCTTGCAGCTTTTTTGGAGTCCTGTTTGGGGTTTGTATTCCTGGCACTACAGTATCCTTTTAACATCTTTTTTTTTTTTTTATATAAATTCTTTTATTCAATTTCTTACATAAATACAAATATCAACATAACACCACAAATCACATAACATCTATTGCACCATTGAAACAATCACAATAGACAAACACATTACACTGTTACACTATCTGCGGGGTCGGGCTATTATAAAAATATGTCTTAGCTCAGGACTCTTACTCTTCAAGCATTACCAGATCTAATGGTTATCTATTTAATTTATATAATAGGTTCTATTTTATTAACCCATCTTTGCCATAGATCCCTTCTCTTTGGGGAATTCAAATACGGTATACTTAGATCTCTTTCCATCCTCATCTGAAGGATGATTTGGTCTTTAATGGCATCCCAATAAACTGCTTGATTAGATTTCCAGTTCCGTGCCAGAACAATTTTAAATGCAACAAGACAATGAATTATAAAACAACTATTTATATATGACATATTCGGCCAATGCATATGTAACAAGACTACCTCTGGTTTATTTTCCAATTCTATTCCAGTGTTATCTTTAATAAATCCTATCGTTCTCTTAATAGAGGTCTGAATGTTTAAACAACTCCACCAAATGTGGAGAAATGAACCTTCCTCTTTATCGCATCTCCAACATCTAGAGGTGACTCCAGGGTACATCTGAGAAAGCTTGCTAGGAACCAAATACCATCTATACATAACCTTGTAATAAGTTTCTAATAAATTTAAACATTGAACCTGTCGACGAGTATTATTTATAGCTTTACACCAATCTTCTTGTTCTAAGGAACACTTCAGATCTTTTTCCCATTTGGTCCTCTGGGGGAAATTAACTACCTCATTAGTATTTCTAGTTATCTTTATTGCTTTAGCTAAGACTTTCGGTATATTCTGATTTGAAAATATGCGTTTTATCAATTTATGCGCTTTTCCAGAATCCTTATTAAGATGTTTCTGCAGAAAATGTTTAAGCCTCAAATATGCAAATAACTCTCGTTGAGGAAGATGGTATTTTTGTACTATAATATCAAAAGGCAATATTTTATCTGAGTTTAATATCTGTGAGACTTTATTTATTCCTTTAAATCTCCAAGTTTCTAGAGATAAATCTTTCATATTAGCTTCTACTATCCTTAAATTTGCCGTATCCATAATTGCATATTTGAGGCCTATTTTCTTTTTAATTTCCTCCCAGACAGGCAACATTTGGGCCCATATAATATTATTTTTGATATCTATCTCCATATTGTCTAGAGTTTTCGTATTCCATAGCAGACCTTCTGGATTTTTTAGTCTCAGATCTTCCATTTCAATACCGAACCAGCTTTCTTCTTGAACTGTCTCCGTCTGGGACCTATACATGTGATTGATCACATTTGCCCAGTATATAACTCTTATATTAGGAAAGTTTAAACCTCCTTCCTTAGTCTTTAATGATAGGATGTTTCTATTTATTCTATTTTTCTTACCCTGGTTAATGAAATTTTCTAAATTGTTTTGTAGTAACGTCAACCATATATCTGGAATCCTAAGTGGAATCATCTGAAATAAATAACTCCACTTAGGAATAATATAAGAATTGATGACGTTAATACGGCCCCACCAAGTAATCTGCATATTCCTCCACTCTTTAAGTAATACATTTGTACTTTTTAATAAATTTAGAAAATTTTCTTCCATCATCCTCTCTATATTTTTAGTAACCAATATTCCTAAACAATTAAATTTCTGAGGTGCCCATATAAATCCATATTGATTACTAATTTCCTCTCTAATCTTCTTATCTAATTCAATACTCATCCCAACTGTTTTTTCATTATTTAATTTATAGTTTGCCAAATGGCTATACACACTAACTTCCTCCATCAGATATTTCAAAGAGCTAGCTGGTTCAGTAATTGACAAGAGGATATCGTCCGCATAGAGACTTATTTTAAATTCTCTCTTATTCTATATCCTTTTATATCTACATTTTTCCTAATATTTTCCGCTAAGGGCTCTATTGAAAGAACATATAATAATGGCGAAAGTGATCCTTTTAACATCTAAAGCACCTCACCAAGCTGAATTGCTTTATGGGACTGTCCCTTTAATGTTTCTGTGATGCAAGACCATAAACCCTTAAAATACAAATAATTTGGAACACAGCACCCTGTGCCTGGGGTATTATTAAATTATTATAATTAATCACGTTACCACACCAAAGGTTGTTCACATTGTTAGGTGTAATCATGCACCATCAGAAAATTGTAACATGCACAACAGTAGCTTTTAGAAATAAGATATATATATATACACACACACACACACACATACATACATACACCCCTCCGATTTAAAGGCTGCATGACATCAGGATATGAATCACTACATTGTTCTCTCTCTCTTTAATGTGGTGTCACATTCAAATGTGCAAAGTTTGGACTGCTGTTTACAGATAAGGAAGAAAAGTGTTTCCTTAATGAATCTAATGCAACTATATCTCTGTCATGCTGGAGCTTTTCACTTGTAATTTCTTCTTTAACTGCCTTGATTTCTCTATGCAATTTATTCAATTGTAAATTATGTTCCAACTTTAATTTATCTACCAAAGCTACACTTTTAAATTCCTGTTGTTTTTTTAAAGTCTTTAATTGTTTCTCAAAGTCCTCATTTTTCAGCTGTAACCCCAGAATATCTTGCTTAGCTTTAGCAAGATGTTTATTAAGACTGCTAACCTCCACGCATTTTTCATGCATATCTTTTCTCAAAGCCTGAATCATGGCATCCTTTTTCAGTAGGTCTTTCTGCATCTGTTTGATCAGGACTTTTTTGCATTCATTCTTCCTTTGTGATGCTGAAAGGGATGCTCTTGCTTCCTCAAGCTCCTGTACGGTTTTACAGTTTCTGGATTTCAGCTCAGATGTTTCTCGCTTACATGCGTCAAGGTGAACCTTTAAGTATGATTGTTCAGTCTGAGTTTTCTTGATCTCATCTCGTAAAATATTTAACTCATTTTCATCCCAAATACAATTATCTTCATTATTAGCAGCACTGAAAGTGTTTACCTTCCCGCATAAGCAACAAGTCTGACATTGGTCTGTGTTAGACTGTTTTGTATTAATCTGCTCTGGAAGCGACACATAATCCCGAACTATCATTTTTGACAAAAATGCTTTTCTTTTCTCTTTTTCTGCTTGCTGGGTATTATACAGTGCAGTATGGTATATGGTTTCTACTGCCTTTGCTCTCTTGTCAGACAACTTTTCAGATTCCAATTGATCTGGTTCAAATGAATGATAAAGAAAATCCTCAGCACTAAAATGAGGTGAAAATAGCTCTTCAACCCAATGTTTTTTCTCAGCTTCCATTCTTCACTAATGCACCTGCACATAGAAACCAAGATTAATAGGCGTATACTGCAATAATTTGGTAGGCAAAAATAGCAAATCACATGACTATATATAGCAGTAGACTTCCAGCCACTGCAAAGGGAATGGACAAGTTGAGTGGAAGGTATGCAAGCTAAGTAAGAATTTAACCACCTAGGAGAATGCTAACCAAAGCAATCTAATATATGTTTTTACTAGTTTTAAAAATGATCTCACAATCATGATTTGCTCTCCTGCAGCTTTTTCCCCACGTGATTAGATTTATTGCCAATTATGTCTCTTTTCCGTCCTTTTTTTCTCCTCTCTTTATACCACTCGCTTTTTTTCCCCCCACCTTTCTATTCATCCCTTTGTAGTATTCCATTTTCTGTTTTGTTTTTTCGCAGTTAGTTTTTTCTTCACTTTGTGATTAATTTAATGCAGTTGTTTATTGTATCACAACCTCTATAAGGATATTACACATCTTTACTCCAATAGAAATAAATTATGAAGGAAAACTAAAAAAAAATAATATTAGGTGGTTTTAGTTACCTTTTTACTTACAATAACCAATATTGTTATTGTGGTTCATGTACTGTACTAGCCACACAATGCATTGTGCCAGAAATCGACCTAATGCCGAAGACTTCCACTGATGCAAGACCAGTTATCCATAAAACATGTAGATGAGAAACAAATCAATGCTTAGGTATTTAAGCGGATTCTCCAGGTACACAAATGCTAGTTGCATTGAATGTTCAGTTAGTTATGTTTTTTGTTTTTTTTAATAAAAGGAACACTCCAAGTACCATAACCACTAGAGTGTGCTATAGTGGTTATAATGTCAGGAGTGCCCAAGGCTCTCCACCAATGTAAGTAGTCAAACCGTGTGATAGCTTACTTGGGGTCTGCAAGGCACCAATCACATCCTTCATGAGAGCCAGAAGCTCTCTACATTGAGCTAACCTCATTGTCAGAGTGATCAGTAGACTGGTGCACAAATCCCTTTAACCCCTTAAGGACACATGACATGTGTGACATGTCATAATTCCCAAAGTTTAGTCCTTAAGGGGTTAAGCTGCGCTGAACAAATCAAATGCCTTTCAATCTATGGGCAAACTAAACAATTTGTTCAGGCTTGCCTAACCAATCGATTTGTTCGTCATTAGATTGTCAAGCACTTGATTGGTTCAGAATAGCTGAAAGATTTGTGCACAAGTCTAGTGATCATCCAACTCAGTCAATGAGCTAGCCCTGGTAGGATATAATTAAAGGAACACTATATTTACCAGAACTACATATAAATGTAGTTCATCTAGTGTGTATAGTCTGTCCCTGCAGTTATTTTAATGTAAAACACTGCCTTTTCATAGAAAAGGGAGTGTTTATATTACTGCCTAACAACACCTGTAGTGGCAGTCACTCAGACGGCCACTAGAGGTACTGTCGTTCAGCATCTCCACGGTCTGCATGGAACGTTCCTCTTAGGGATGCGTTGATCCAAGTGAATAGATAGCCGACTTAGACAATTGTCCCAGTTTAGCTATTTTGAAATTGACTTTAGTAAATAAACCTGCTAGAGAAACAAGGATTTTACTTAACTTTTTTCCAGCGCCGAGACTCACTTACTGCTGCCACCCATTCTTCCCACAACTTAATCATGTTGCTTCCTGTCTAATTCAATGCTTTTCTATAAGGAGCACTGGGGACAAGACGTGCATCCAATCAAAATCTTCTCATAACAAAGCACTGATTAAAATGAGGATGAAAACTTGGTGTCTTTTAATCCTTCAATCAAAACATTGCTATATCTACTAAATGGCAATGTTTTACATTGCAGGGCTAAAACGACAGGGCCACTGTAGTCAGATCACTCCGGTGAGATAAAGTAGACTGTGTGCCTTTAGTGGTCCTTCAATGTGTAAGTATTAGACTGAAATACAAGGGGGGACCGGGCAGCAGCTGGCTGGTGACATTCATTCAATCTTTTAGAAGCAAGGCTGAAAGGAGAAGTATCTTAATTGAGATTAAGTTATGTTGGCACCTAAAATGTCTTTTTAAAGAAACACTGCAGGCACTATAACCACTACCATTCCCTGTTTCCTGCGATAAGATCTCTTCATTGAGCTAAGCTGGTGGTGGAGGGTTTAATTAATTGGCAGAGTGTTCAGATGATGCTCTCAGCTGATGTGTTGAGCCCTGTTCTGTTTAACACCTTGGATGGGGTGGGATAGTGCCAAAATAATTAAAATAATAATAATAATGTAAAATAGTTCGATTATAAAATTCAGGATGGCTTATTCACTAAGCTCCCAATTGTAGCAAACTAAAATCAGAATGGCATAATTCAGACTTAAAGCTGTGACTAGAGATTAGATAAAGATTGTTTCCAAATTAAATAATATATATATATATATATATTCTGTATAAACACATTTCTCCCAGTAACTCACTGTCTCCGTAGGGTTTCTGTGTAATTACAGTAATTACAGCTGCCAGGCTATGCTTTGTTTCTTGCACGTGAACCTCCGAGCTCTGCCCTTAGCAACTACAGGAAAACAACAAATCACAGCCTCACGGCGACTGATGATGACGCCACGGCCAAAGCGCCAACCACGCTCTCTAGCTCAGCTCGCGCCTTGGAGGGCACTGTTTAGAATCCCAGCTGGACCCACGCGGCTTGCTGGCAGCGTGACGCCGCGCGAGCTGCCTCTCGGACTTCCGGTGTCTGAGCGCTTCTCACAACAAAGACCTGTTTCCCCCCCCCCATCCCCTTAGCACGGGGTGAGAGGCCATTTTGTTGGCTACCATCGCAATGTTGTTTAATTATTGTTTAGGTCGGGAATAACGATGGCGGTTGTTACAGGTTCCTGTTTTCCTCCCAAGCAGCCTTCATTGTTTAGAAGCACCTTCAGCCGCCATTTTTGATACTGGAAAAATAAAATGCACGCTAGCGACCTCTGTTGGACGAAATACTAAAGTAGCCAGTTCGCATTTGTTTTTTGTAAATATAATGTAAATTTAAAAAGGTTAATTTAAAGGGATACTCCAGGCACCCAGACCACTTCTGCCCATTGGAGTGGTCTGGGTGCCAACTCCCACTACCCTTAACCCTGTAACTGTAATTATTGCAGTTTTTTATAAACTAGAATTACCTTACCTTGCAGGGTTAAGTCCTCCCCTAGTGGCTGCCTACTAGACAGCCACTAGAGGGCACTTCCTGCTTCATAGCACAGATTATCTGTGCTATAGCGTCGATGGACGTCCTCACGCTGTGTGAGGACCTCCAGCGTCGCTCAATTCCCCATAGGAAAGCATTGAAAAGCATTTTCAATGCTTTCCTATGGAGAGGTCTAACGCGCATGCGCATTAGGTCTCCCCGGCAGGCGGGATCAGTCTCCCCAGCCGGCTGACGTAATAAGGGAAGAAGCGGCAGCGAAGGAAGAAGCAGTGACCATGTCGCTGCCTCTGGTAAGTGACTGAAGGGGTTTTCACCCCTTCAGCAACCGGGGATGGGAGGGAGAGGGGACCTGCAGTGCCAGGAAAACGGATTGCACGGGAGAGTCCATTTAAAGCGCCATAACCTCTACTACTATTTGAAGTGGTTATGGTGCATTGGGTTCTGTCTTCTTTTTTTGTATGTGAAACTGTTTTCTATCATACAAATAATACTGCTCTTATGGCTCCAAAGTCTGGTCGCTCTGCATAGGCTCAGGTAATATAGCAGTTTCACTTCTACATTATACAGGAAACCATAGACAACAATTATAGGTTGCAAGTACTGGTTGTAGCCATCGCCAGCACTCATTGCCTATCAATGTCATCCAAGGACAGCTTGGGACAGATAATGTGTAGAGCTTCACAATATCTGACATCTGCAGAGTGGGTGGCTTTGGGTGCTGAGAGAGACCAGGAATTTAGCAAATTACTCAAACTGTTTTACATCTAAAAGGAGACCGCGCTAAAACATTGGTGTCACTATAACTCTACAAAACGCTGTAGTGGCTTTGTTGTTGAGAGTGCTCCTTTAATTCAGTATAAAGTACGGAAATGTATTTATTATATGTTATACTTCCTAGCTGAAGTACATTTTTAATTTAGTTAAGATTTTTGGATTGTAAGCTCTTTTGGGCAGGGCCGTCTTCACCTTCTGTTCCCCAAGTATGTCAATCATGTTTTGTTGGAATTTTTACTGTATGTTTTGTTTACCTATTGCACAGCGGAATTTGTTGGGGCTATATAAATACTTGTAATAATAAACAGTTATTATCGGTAAGCCGTAGTAATAAGCAAAACATATGGCCACAAATCTTTCAATTATTATTTTCTGAACAATAGTCTAGATCAGGGTTGTCAACCTTTTAATACCTACCACCCACTTTTTAACCTTTGTTGATGGTAAAATTTCCTTACGCCCACCAGTGCCACAGTAACTAATTTTATAGCGCAAGTGCGATTTTATTACAGACACGGAGGCTCGTATATATATGCAATCTCTTTCTTATTTATTCCCTCAGCAGTAAGAAATTTTGAGAGAAATAGGAAAAAACTTTAAACATAACCATAATCTGCCTAGAAACAGTGGCAGCCAATAATGTCACAGTGTCCCTATCAAAAGGGGCTGTCATCTGTCCTTCTTCCTCTTTCTTGCTGCTCCCTCAGAAGTTAAGTACCAATTTTTCTCTCTACTGATTGTGCTTATATAAATGATAATTTATTATAGTTGGTATTCTGTGTTACCGATATGTCCGTGCACAGTGTATACCCAGACCACCCTCACTGAGATACCCGTGTGGTAGGGTCCCCCTGGGAGGTTTTCCTGCTCATACCTATTCCCCCCCTTTTCCCTTGCCTCGAGGTTCCTGACCGCATCCAGACACCGACAGTTCCCCCTTCACACGGGAGAACTGCCGGGCTTGTTTTAATAGCCGCGGGAGTTTTTCTCCCTCTCAGTGCGGCTGAGTTTTTTTCCCATGCTGTCAACGGCCGCGAGCTCTGTGTGCTTGCGGTCATTGTGAGGGGAGGAGCTGGCTACGGCCGTTGGCGCGCTTTCCCTGCTGAAAGTGCGCTTAGGCAGGATGGCTGTGGGATTCCTCTCCTTCCATCGCTGGTTGACGGCTCCAGGCTCCTCCGGCAGGGTATACACCAGATTTAGTACTTAGGCATATTATTAGCTGTATTGATATTATTGTTAATAGTTAACCATTTCACTGTTTGCTGCACTAGATAGGTTATTTGATTGTAGTGTGGGTTACGCAACCCTATTTCTCTAATTCCCCTGCCAGTGATTTCTTTACTGTGTGTAGCTACTTGTTAGCCTTTTTTCCCCTACACTTTGTCTCTCCCCTGATCATAGCAGTATGCAGTCCAGAACTGATAATGCTGAAGGGTCTGGGTTACCCACTGTGGACCCATTTCTAAACCCCACGACTGATGATACAGCCTTAATGGCCTCTGAGGAATTCCAGAATATACTGGACACTACTATGGCTGCATCTATAAATAAAGCGCTGGCCTCCGCTATGGGAGCTATGTCCGCTTCATTCTCCCAAACTCTCACACAAGCGTTATCCCAAGCCCATAACGCACACATAGCTACCTCTGTGGTGCATCCCCCATCCGCCACTGCGGACACTGTGTCCCGCAAGGCGAAAAATAAAACTAAGCACCTGAGCTCTCACTCCACTGATAAGGCTATGCCTATGATGACTGATCCGCCCTTGGCGATCAAGGAGGGCGCGTTACAACCGCGCAAAAGAGCCTCTGGCTGGGCAAAAGCAGCCAGATCTTGGAAACGGGCACGTACCCTAGATGAGTGGTCGGACTCTGAAACTGCTATGTTTACAGCAAAAAGGGTTAAACCAAGCTGGATCTCGCACCCAGACCCCTTCATTAAGCTGAAGTTGTCTGGGTGCCTATAGTGGTCCTTTAAGCAATAACCTCAGTGCATATTATGTTTACGCCATTTTGTCCCAGACGAATTACAATAACAATAATGCATAAACAAGCTTCAAGGCTATCCTACGACTCTTTCAGTACACAATATACTGTGGTAAGTAACCCTAAGTAGATAACGATGTTCAGACTGTAAGATGCCATCTTGAACTAAGTCAGGAAAATTTCCATGACGTATACACCCTTTAGTTATGGACTTGTATTTTTGCCAAGTTAATGGAGGTCCTAAAATGAATAAAATAAAAGAAGTGTTACTTTTTCATATATGAAAAAATATGTGTACCTTTAAATGTTAAGAGAGAGGAGAGACTTGGAGACAGACACTGCTCCATCTTAAAATGACGGAGAGGCTGACATGATGACATGTTCAGGAGGGTATGTTAACCTATTAATGATATTTGCAAGCATTTAGTTTAATCTTATAAACTCTGCTATAAATTATTGCAATGGATTTTATATGTCCATATTTATATTTTTTTATATAATAAATATCTAAAAGACAAAACTTTATTGCCTTCAAGACAATCCTTATTTTATATTGTATTCTCAATTATTTATATATGTTAAATAGAGGATGTCTTACACTAACTATATAAAATTATAGCTAAGATATCTGTATGGTTATCCCTGCTAAGTTCTATGCTTTAAGACGTTATAGTGGTAAATAAGGGAACCAGCCGCAGTTACATACCTATACATAAGTAAAAATAATTACAAAAAATTATATATATATATATATATATATATATATACATATACATATACATATATATACATATATATAATAATTCTACGTATATATTTATGTAAGCATTTTACATAATTAGGTCATTTTATTAATTACAATTTGCGGGATCTGCCTGACAACCCAGGCCGAAAGTCCAGGGAATTTAATTTGCTAGCACTATATTTAACCCTGTAACTTTCCAAGACACCATAAAACCTGTACATGGGGGGTACTGTTTTACTCGGAAGACTTCGCTGAACACAAATATTAGTGTTTCAAAACAGTAAAATGTACTACAACGATGATATCGTCAGTGAAAGTGAAATCTTTTCCATTTTTCACACACAAATGGCACTTACACGGACAATATAATTTGTACTGTTTTGAAACACTAATATTTGTGTTCAGCGAAGTCTCCTGAGTATAACAGTACCCCTCATGTACAGGTTTTATGGTGTTTTCAAAAGTTACAGAGCATAGGCGTGCACAGCCTATTGCATTAGGGTGTGCACCCTAAAGCACAAGCACACGCCGCATATATATATGTATGTATGTATAGATATATACACATATATACACACTGCTGTGTGTGTGTGTGCGCTGTGTGAGGGTGCTGTTAGTGTGATGTGTGACGGTGCTGATAGTGTGCTATGTGGGTGAGGGTGTTTGTGTGTGCGCGCTTGTGAGGGTGCTGTTTGTGTGTGTGTGTGCGCTTGTGTGCGCTTGTGAGCGCTGTTAATGTACTGTGTGTGAGGGTACTGGTAGTGTGCTGTGTGTGTGTTTGTTAGGGTCCTGTTTGTGTTTGTGAGGGTGCTGTTTGTGTGCTGTGTGTTGAGGGTGCTGTATGTGTATGTGGGTGCTGTATGTGTGTGTGGGTGCTGTGTATGTCTGTGGGTGCTGTATGTGTGTAGGTGCTGTGTATGTCTGTGGGTGCTGTATGTGTGTTGGTGCTGTGTATGTCTTTCGGTGCTGTATGTGTGTTGGTGCTGTGTATGTCTGTGGGTGCTGTATGTGTGTGGGTGCTGTATGTGTGTAGGTGCTGTGTATGTCTGTGGGTGTTGTATGTGTGTTGGTGCTGTGTATGTGTGTGTGTGCTGTATGTGTGTGGGTGATTGTGGGGGTGGAGGTGGGGGTACATTACTTGATATCCCCCCTCCCTTCTTACCTTTTGTAGGGAGGGGGGATCCTTGTTGCTGCTGCCAGTGTTTGTGACCAAGTGGCTACTAAAAAAGGCTGGACATACCCCATTTGCAATACCTTTGGTTGTCTACTTTTGCAAATGGTATGCTATCATGGGGTAATTCTCAGTCCTGGGCTACCATACGGTCTCAAAGGCAACGTAACAAATCTGGCGAAGTTCAATGTGAAAAAAATGAAAAATGTAACATGCTATATTTGACCCTGTAACTTCCCAAAACACCTTAAAAACTGTACATAGGGGGTACTGTTTTACATGTGCGACATCGCTGAATACAAAAATGTGTATTTTATTGCAGTAAAAGCAAACAGTATTATGACATTCACAGTTAAAATGTCACATAGAACTACCGTATATACTCGAGTATAAGTCGACCCAAATAAAAGTCGAGACCCCTACTTTTACCCCCAAAAACTGGGAAAACTTATTGACTCGAGTATAAGACTAGGGTGGGAAATGCAGCAGCTACTGGTAAATTTCTAAATAAAATTAGATCCCCAAAAAATTATATTAATTGAATATTTATTTACAGTGTGTGTATATAATGAATGCAGAGTGTGTGTATATAATGCAGTGTGTTTGTATGAATGCAGTGTGTGTATGTGTGTATGAGTATGAATGCAGTGTGTGTGTGTGTATGAGTGCAGTGTGTGTGTGTGTGTGTGTGTGTATGAGTGCAGTGTGTGTATGTGATGCAGAGCCTTGGTGGGGGGGTGGGCATTTTTATTATTTTTTTTTAACTATTATTATTGTTTATATATATATTATTAATATTTTTTTTATTATACTGGTGGTCCAGTGGTGTGCACTGTGTAGGAGGGGGGCTGGCAGCGAGCTGTTCCTTACCTTTCCTGCAGGTCCTGTCAGCTCCCTTCTCTCTCCTCCGGTTCAGTCAGCTCCCTTCTCCTCCACTGTAAGTCTTGCGGCCGCGCGGAGCGTTCCCCGTGGCTCTCGCGAGATTTACAGTGGAGCTGAAAGAGGAGCTGACCAGAACGGAGGAGAGAGAAGGGAGCTGACAGGAGCTGCAGAAAGGTAAGTAAACGCTTTCTGCCAGCCCCCAACAGGACTGCTGGGCCTGTAATGAGCCCGGCGGTCCTGGTCTGTATTATGGCAATGTAATTTGCCATAATACAGACATTAACTCGAGTATAAGTCGAGTGGGGGGTTTTCAGCACAAAAAATGTGCTGAAAAATGCGACTTGTACTCAAGTATATACGGTAAAAATCTATTTTCTCCCGATTCTTAATATTTTATTCATATTAAATTATGTTTCATACCTAAATATTTGATGTTAAATAAAAGCCCTGTTTCCCCTGAATAAAATTATATATAATAAGTGTGGGTGCACATAATATGAAAGAGGTGAATTACGCCTGAACAGACATATAGCACAAATTCAAGTTTTTGTTTTGATCACAATGTGTGCATTTGGCTCGGTCCTTAAGGGGTTAATTTTATTCCTATTTTGTATATTATTAAACACATTGTACGTATAGAATATAATATATTTAACTAAATTAGTATTTTCTCTCACTTTCTCTACATATTATGACATGTAATAAGTACCAATACGTTTATACTTTTATATTTCAAAATCAAAATCCTCAAACCTTGGATGTATAATTTTAAAGCTATGTTTTGCTTACTCAAAATGTTATATATTTCAAAGTCCTGTGTGCTTACATTCTATATATTTTCAAAGCCAAACCCTATTATGTTTTATATAAAGATATAACTAAACATTTTTTTTTCCAAAATATTAATATATGTTAAAATCAAGCCCTGCATTTTTAAACTTTTTTTTTGCGTATTTCACTTTTTATTAAGATTAAACATATGGGGGACGGAGCCTAGCGACTACATGAGACGGACGTTTGCAAACTGAGCTCCGATTTTTTTTGGCTACCACAGAGAGTGGAAAACACCAACTCAGACCCCATACTTACCATGGGCAGAAAAACAAAGAAACAGAAGCCAGATAAGCCCAGGTCGGGTATGAATATAGGGGAACTTTTCTGACAAGCGCAGGGAGCATGTGGACCCAAGATAGCCATCGACTATGGAGATCTCACTGACTTCTCGGAGGGCCTGTCCCTGGATGATAGCAACATAGGGCTACCTCCATCACTACAGCCACAGTCAGCCCCACAGACCTCAACACCTGTGACTGCTGCAACCCTTAAGGGGGACCTCCCAAAAACAATTCAAGCCGACGTGGCACTGCTCCGCACAGACCTCACAGGTGGAGACCTCCACGGAGGCTACATCTCAGTCCATAGCGGAGCTCCGGATCGAAATGACCGCTCTTAAGAAGCAGCAAGATCTAACGGAACAAAGCTTCGCAATGCTGGACGACATGAGACGCTACAATAACCTTAAGGTTCGAGGCGTCCTGGAAGAGGTGCCAACGGAGGAACTTCCTCACTTGATGCAGAGGCTGATAGGGGCCTTGCTAACACCTAAACAGGCCAAATGTGTGATTATGGATGGGGCCTTTCACATACTTAAACCCCGAAGAGCACCTGACAAGGCGACTCGAGACCTGGTGGTGAAATTCCGCAATAGCACAGACAAAGCGGCAGTAGTAGCGACACTCAAGGGGACATCTCCCTACTCCTTCAAAAACATGGCCCTCACTTTCTATGTTGACCTCTCTGGGGATAATCTTCAATGGAGAAGATTGATGAGGCCCTTTATCACTCTACTCCGTAATCACAACATCCGCTACAGATGGCGTTCGCAGCATTCGCAAACATCATCCTATTTATACCGCAGGGCACCCAGCTGGACACTTATGCAGCGACGACCACCTGAGACTCCAGGCATTGTTTTTGAGTCCCACATCATACCTAGTTGGGGAACTGTTTGTTTTACATATGGTTTGAAGTTCATTATATTTTCTTTGGCAGTTTATACTATATAATTTAAGTTCACATGGCTTCACAAAAGGCATACCCCGTCTATGTTTCCACCGGCATATGGCAGGACTCTTTCCTCACCCCCCCTCTATGTACACAATGACTTTGGTTGGTGGTCATCGCATAGATGACCCCTCAACTGTTCTTCATGAGCAGACTCATC